GTTGGGCATGGTGGCACACGTCTGTAGTCCCAAGTTAACTACTTGGGAGGCTGAGACAGGAGGATCACTTGAGCCTAGGAGTTTGAAGTTGCAGTGAGTTATGATGACACCATTGTATTCCAGCCTGGGCGACAGAGTAAGACTCTGTCTGCCCAACCCTCCCCCCCAAAAAAACAAACAAACATAGGCTAGGCGCTGTGGCTCACACCTGTAATCCCAGCACTTTGGGAGACTAAAGCAAGAGGAGTGCTTGAGCCCAGGAATTCAAGGCTGCAGTGAGCTATGATCACATCACTGCATTCTAACCTGGGCAAGAGAGCAAGACTCCACCCCTAAAAAAAATTTTAAAAACCAAATAAATAAATATAAAACAGTAAATATGTGTTGGCAAGGATATGAAAAGATTGGAAATCTTGTGCATTGCAGGTAAAAATGTAAAATGGAGCAGGCACTGTGGAAAATGGTGTGACAATTCCTCAAAAAAGTAAACACTGAGTTACCATATGACCAACAAAACCACTCCTGGGTCTATAACCAAAAAGAAGTGCAAAAAGGGACTCACAGCAGCATTACTCACGGTAGCCAAAAGGCGGAAGAAACCCAAATACCTATCAGCAGATGAACGGATAAACAAAATGTGGTGTGTGTGCGTGTATGTGTGTGTGTGTGTGTGTGTATATATATATATATATACACACACACGCACACATACACAGACACAATGGGATATAATTCAGCCTTTAAAAAGAAGGAAACTGATATGTTCAACGACATGGATGAACCTTGAAGACATTATGCTAGGTGAAAAAGCCAGTCGCCAAAGAACAAAAATTGTATGATTCCACTTTTATGAAATACCTAGAGCAGTCAAATTCATAGATACAGAAAGGGGCTGGAAAGAGGGGAAACGGGGAGTCAGTGTTTAATGGATACAAACTTTCAGCTGAAGTGGATGCAAAAGCTCCAGGGGTGGACGATGGTGACGGTTGCACAATAACGTGCCGGGACTTAATGCCATAGAACTATACACTCAAAAGTGGGTAAAGTGGCATATTATGTATATTTTACCACAATCTTTTATAAAAAGTACTGTATTGGTGTTAAACTTCTTGAATTTAATAACTTTGGTTATGCAAGAAGAGATCCTAGTTTTTAAGGATCTTACACTGAAGCATTAAGGGGTCAAAAGGCGTGCTGTCTGTAACCTACTCTCAAATGGTTAAGAATTCTTTTTATCCTTATTTGAAATTATTTCAAAACAAAGATTTTTTTTAAAAAACTGTTCAATGAAAGTTAGCATTACAAGAAGGAAAATCACAAGTCACAGAGTGGGAGAAGTGCAACATATATATTGATAAAGTACTTATATCCGGAATATACAAAGAACTCCTAAAAATCAGTTTGGTAGAAAACAAAAAAACTCAATTTCGTATTTTTTGCAGAAACAGGGTCTTGCTATGTTGCCCAGGCTGGTCTCAAACTCCTGACCGCAAGTGATCCTCCCACCTCAGCCTCCCAAAGTGCTGGGATTACAGGCATGAGCCACTGCACCCAACCAAAAACTCAATTTTTTTAAATGGGCCAAAGAGTTGAACAGGCATGCCGCCAAAGAGGAAAAAAAATGAAAAGGCACTCAACCTTTTTAGTCATGGACATGCAAATTGAGATCACAATGAGAGACTATACCACAAGCATCAAATTGGCACAATTAAAACACGCTAATATCAGGGCTGCCAAGACTGTAGAACAAGTGAAATTCTCCCACTGCCAGTAGAATTATAAATTGCTGTAATTTCTTTAGTAAACAGCCAAGTATTACCTAGAAAAGCTGAAGACATCTATATCCTATGACCTAAGATTGCCCCTACCTTGAGAAACTGAAACGTGTTCACCAAGATACATTAATGTGAGAGTATTTATATCAGCCTCGTTTGCAATAGCAAAAATCTTGAAAATCCAATGTCCATCAATGGGGGAATGGAGGAATCTATTAAGATTTACTTACTATACAGCTATTAAAATGAATGAACTACATTTACAAAGAACAATATGAATAAATATTAAAAAATAATGAACCAGAAGCCGTGCACAAAGAAAAGCATATTACATGACTTCATTTTATATAAAGGTTAAACCAAGCAACACTAACCCACACTGTTTAGTGAGGCATACTTAAAATTTTTAACTATGAAGCAAAGCAAATAAAAACATTTCCATAAAAATTGAGATAATAAATAATTCTATGCAGAATGTAGGCAAGAGTGATTAGGAAAGATCATTAGGACACGGCTTTAAGAGAGCTATTTTTTTTACCTGGGTGTTTTTTTACACAGATTTGCCCTTTATAATTGCTATACTGTACATATCTTACGTACTTTCCTGAGTATGTATTACATTACACAATTTAAAATGATTAAAAAATTAAAAATTAACTGGTGGGGAGGCAGGGACGGAAGCAGGGAGACCAGTCAGAGGACTCTGCAACATTCCAAGTGGAAGATGAGGTGCTTGAATCAAAGTGGTAGCAGTTTTGATAGCAAAAGTAAGCAGCAGTAGTAAGACTCAACCTGATTACATTTTGGGTTATATCCCAAAGTAAAGCCAGTAAGACATTCTGACTGAATTTGGGTTGGGACCGCAAAAGATGAGTCAAAATAGTGTCAAAAGCGTATGACCTGAGCCACCGGAAAACTGGACTTGCCATTCAAAATGGAGCAGGCTATAGGAGAGCAGTTCAGAAGGGGTTTAGCAGAAACCAAAACTTGTGAATTTTGAGATACCCACTAAAGTCCAAATGGAAATGCCGGTAGGCAGGTGAACGTACAATCTTAGAGAAACAGATTTGAGAATTGTCAGCATATAGATTAGCATTTAAAGTCATGGAGGCTGGATAAAATAACCAAGGGAATTAGGAAGAGAAAAATCCAAAAAGTACAGTGCCCTGACATTTCAACGAGGAAGCAATGATCAGCTACATTAAATGCTGCCAAGAGGTGAGACGAGGGCCAAGAATTGTCAACTGGATTTAGTGATGCAGGAATTGCTGGTATCCCTGGGAAAATGATATTATCAGTGATCCTGAATAGAACAACATCCTTTTCATCATAAACTAAACATCCAAATATATTTAGATCTATTTGTCAATTCTGTTACGTCGCTTGGTCTATTTATTTATAAGTTGATTAGACAGTTTTAGTTATTATAACTTCATATTTTATCACCTGGTAGGACTAGCTCATCACACTACTTTCATGAAATGTTTATTCTTGGATGTTATTTGTTCCCCCCATATAAACTTTATAACTACTTTGTGTAGTACTTTTAAAAAGAGTGTTAGTATTTTCATTGCAGTCTTATTGAACACATGGAATATTTAAGATGTAGAATGGTTAAGGCTTGATAATTAGTTGCAAAGGACAAGAGAGGAAGTCTCACAAATATGCAGTTATTAACTAAAGCTTTGCAAGTGGAAGATGGGATTGCTTACGATAAAACACAGAATTCAAAGAGAAACCAGTTGGAATGAACTCCAGCATCTAGAGTCTGAATGGATCAGTGTGAACTGCAATGGAAACCAAGAAGGCATGGCCAAAGATGTGAAGGAAATGCCAGAGATGCCAGAATATGATGGCGTAGAACCCAAGGGAATACTGCTGAAAAACTCAGAAAGATGAAAGTTAAACAGCATTTATAATGACACAAAAGTCACTGAGAACCTTAAAAGTATAGGTTTAGTGGACGGGGGCAGGGAGAAACAGAGCTAAATTGACATGTGCTAAGGAAGGGATGGGAAGATAGAAATAGGGCAATAGCTACAGGGGGATGCACACTAGGGGAAAGATTTTGTTTTCAAGACAGGAGAGACCCAAGCATGGTTAAGTTCTGATGGGAGGACCTAAGGAGAAACTGAAGATAGTAAAGAGAAGGAACAGCGTAAGCCCCTGAAGAGAGGCAGAGTTGTATTCAGCAAGTGGATGTGTGCAGAGGAAAGGATGTCTTTGGCCAGAGGAACTGATACCACACCTCCATTCATGACAGACAAGAAAGAGGAGAGGACTGGGCTAGCACCAGCTAGGTGTGCATATATCAGTAGGCAATTTAGTAAGCAAAGTTTAGGGAATTCTGCTTTGTCCAAGAAGTAAGCGAAATGGTCATCTTAATTTTTAAAACCCACCAGTGTTGTTGCACATTTATATTGCTTTCAATCTGTCACAAAGAACAGAATAGTTGGGTCAAAGTGATAAACACTTTGAAAAGCTTTTGTATTCCTGCTGCCACCTGCCCTTGGGAAAAAGGCGTTTCCCATTTATACTCCCTCTAAAACTATTCTTCGCACATTGGATGATTATCTTTACTTTTTTCCTCCAACCTTTCTGTTTTGGCAATCATTGCTCATTTTTATTAATATTTTAAGAGGGAAAGACTGATTTTTTTTTAAAGCAAGCTCAGATTAAGGGTAATTACCCATGTATAAGTTCAAGCACGCTTCATTTTAAAATCATTTTAAAATATCATCCCATTAAAGTCATGTAATAAAGATACGTACCTCTCAAAATAAAGTTGGCAGTCAGATTTATCCTTTAATGGATAAAACAATAAAATGGCAAATAGGTGAAAAACAAAGGTGGGACATCAGAAACAACTTCCCAATACAATAGACTACAGAAAAGCCTTCCATGAGAAACTTTTTAACTAGAATTCAGTAAACGGTCACCTGTCTGGGTAGAGGAAAGGATCCTTTGATTACTTGAAAATCATTTGCAATTCACATCAACAAGTAAGATTACCCACCAATGAAATACACAGCACATTCTGCCACTGACCCCCCAATAGCTACAGATTTCATGCCAAAACCTTCTCTCCACTAAGACCTTATCATTACTACACTGAAAGCCAATGAGAATGCAGATTACCCAGATCTGGGTCAGGCATTAGTTTTATTGCAGGTAAGGAACTGCATGAATCTCAAAGGGCACCAGAAACAGGCCCTTCTTTCTTACCTTAACCATGAACGTGAAGTCTGTTAGGGCTGGGGAGTAGACGGCCCCGCCAGCACACGGGCCCATGATCAGAGAAATCTGAGGGATAACTCCGGATGCCGTGACATTCCTCTGCCAAAAGAAAAAGGCAAAGGCATCTGGTTACAGAGGCATTCAACACATTATCTGCAGAAAGATAAAGGCAATAATAAGATAGCAATTGGTTTTTATCCCACAAAAACTCTACCCGGGAGGCAAGAGACCTAATCAGTAAAGTTCTTCCAGAACTGTACGTGCAGATTCTCCCCATAACTGGTGCGATGGTTGGCATATTACTTTCTGGAGCAAATACTTTGCTCTCCCATCTTTGGCAGCAGTTTCCAAAAACCTCTACCAGAGCATAAGCTACCGAGAGATTCCCACCACCCTCAACCCAGCTGCAAACACACCATAGGCCTGCCCCCGACTGTTTGCACGAGAGTGGCAAGAAGAACGAAAACCCCAGGCAGAGTGTACAGAGCTAACACTTATCCTGGAGCACTGACCTGTTTGGGGCCCCTTCACACCCTCCACAGAGGGTACCCACTGTCACAAGGCAAGGCTAAGAGGCAGGTGTTACTTTATGTTGAGTCTTCAATGTCTGCCCCTCCCCAGAAAGGGGATGTTGACAGACAAAGGCAGAAAGAGCCAGAAAGGCTCCATAAGGACAATGGTGTTGTGAAGGGCTAAGCCTCTGGCCACCACCTGGGAAAGACAGGAACCAGGGGCTGAAGGACCCGGGCAAGGTGATGAAGACCCAGTCACTGTTTGCCCTACCCCCAACCTTCTCCTGAGCAACATGGGCTTGAGAAAAGCGGGTCCACTTTTTAGCCTGTCTTTGCCTCTGAACCCAATCTCTATAACCCATGGAACACAGCTAAGGACAGGACAAAAAGTCATCTATACTCTGTACAAACACAAAGGCAGGTGGATGGATGTCCAGCTGGGGAACAGTGAAGAGTATGGAAAATTCTCTCCCCTAAAAGCCAACCACAAAACTGGACAAAATTGGCAAAAACAAATATTTAGGGTTCTGAAAATGGGGCAAATGTGAACAAATTGAGACGTGTTTATTCATGAAAAACTGCTAAAGCTAAGATAAGAACAGTAAGAGTCTGTGGCATTCTAAAATAAGGCTACCACTGCCCACAGCAGCTCAGGGTGTCGTTCAGGGTGAAAGAAAATTAACACCAGTAATTCAAATCCACAAGAAGCAATTAAGAACACTTAAAATGATTGAGTGATTAAATATAAAATACTACATAAATAATAGTTCTATCTCTTTTCTTTAATGCTTTAAAAGACAAGACTGTATAAAGAAATAATCATAACACTGTATTTTGGGGCTTAAAAGATATATAACAAAAGCATAAATGAAGGGGGAGGGCCGGGTGCGGTGGCTCACGCCTGTAATCCTAGCACTCTGGGAGGCCGAGGCGGGCAGATTGTTTGAGTTCAGGAGTTCGAAACCAGCCTGAGCAAGAGCGAGACCCCATCTCTACTAAAAATAGAAAATAAATTAATCGGCCAACTAAAAATATATAGAAAAAATTAGCTGGGCATGGTGGCGCGTGCCTGTAGTCTCAGCTACTCGGGAGGCTGAGGCAGGAGGATTGCTTGAGCCCAGGAGTTTGAGGTTGCTGTGAGCTAGGCTGACGCCATGGCACTCTAGCCCGGGCAACACAGTGAGACTCTGTCTCAAAAAAAATAAATAAATAAATGAAGGGGGAGAAAACGGAGCTATATTGGATGAAAGTTCCTACATTTTACCAGAAGTCAGTACTAATTTGAAGCAGATTTAGATAAATTAAGACACATATTCTAACACTTAGAGCAATCACTAAAAAAACAACAAAAAATACAGTTAAAAAAAACAAATTAAAATAGTACACTAAAAATATTTAGCAGAAAAGAGCTGAGTGACGTTACAGAAGACAGAATAGGAAGCTCTAGGAATCTGGTACCAAAACAACTATTCAGCAGATAGAAACTGTACAAAGCAACTATTTTGGAACTCTGATGTCTAGCCAAACACTTACAAAGACCAGAGGAGAGTTTGATAAAGCAGCAGGTAAATTTCAATGAACTTCACATTTAGCATGGCTGCTACCATCACCCAGTTCACAGCCCATGGCAGGCAGCCACGAGGATACCCTGAGGATGGTGCCAGGGTGGGCAATAAGGCCCTTGCCCTCCAAAATCAGGGTTGTGTGTTTTGATTGCTGATCACTGCTTCTGACAGCTGAGGGGCCAGCAGTCTAGACACTTTCAACCATAATGGGCTTAAGGAAATCTTTGTCAGATCACTAGTAGACCACAGAGACAACAGAACTAAAATTTTAGTGACAACATTCAACAAGGAACACACACTTTGCAAAAATAGCTTGGAAAAGCTCAGATAGATGGATCTAGCACTCGACAAGCAAAAATCAGTAATCCTTCAGGAGTGACAGAACTAGATTTCTAAACTTACCAAACATAATATTCAGAATTTCCAGTCCTCAACCAAAAATTACAAATCATACAAAGAAATAAGTATGGCCCAGTCACAGGAAAAAAATTTGACAGAAACCATCCCTGAGAAAACGCAGACATCAGACTTATTAGTCAAAGATGCCATATAAACTGTGGGAAAAAAACTAAAGGAAATCAGGAAAACAATGTCTGAATGAAATGGGAACACTATGAAGAAATGGAATAAAAAGCAGAAATTCTGGAGGTAACAAGTATAACTAAAATGAAAAATTCACTAGAGGGTTTCAACAGCGGATTTAAGCAGGCAGAAGAAAGGATCAGGGAATTTGAACACAAAATAATTTAAATTATCTAGGCTCAGCTGGGTACAGTGGCTCGTATCTGTAATCTTAGCACTTTGGGAGGCCGAGGCAGGAAGATGTCTTGAGGCCAGGAGTTCGAGATCAGACTAGGCAACATAGCAAGACCTTGTCTCAAAAGATAAGGAAAATTAGCCAGGCATGGCAGTGCATGCCTATAGTCCCAGCTACTCAGGAGGCTGAAGTGGGAGGATCACTTGAGCCCCGGAGTTTAAGGCTGCAGTGAGTTATGATCAAGCCACTGCACTCCAACCTGGGTAACAGAGCAAAACACTGTCTAAAAAAAAAAAAAAAAAAAAATTTTTTATCTGAGGAACAGAAAAACAAAAGGAAGAAAAATGAACAGAGCCTAAAGGACCTGTGGGAAACCAACAAACATACCGACATACACGTTATAGAAATCCAAGAAGAAAACAGAGAAAGGGTCAGATAAAATATTTGAAAAAATAATGGCAAAAACTTCCCAAATTTGATGAAAGACATGAATATACATATCCGAGTACCTCAACGAACTCCAAAAATTATGAACTCAGAGAGATCCACACTAAGACACATTATAGTCAAACTGTCAAAACCCAAACACGAGGAGAGAAATTTAAAACCAGCAAGATAGAAGCAATTCATCACATGCAAGGAATCCTCAATAAGATTAACCATGGAGGCCAGAAGGCAGTGGGACATATTTAAAGTACTGAAAGAAAAAAAAAAAAACCTGTCAACCAAGGACTCTATATTCAGCAAAACTATCCTTCAAGAATGAAGGAAAAACTAAGATACTTCCAGGTCAAAAAAAGCTGAGGGAGTTCATTTGCACTAGACATGTCATACAAGAAATGCTATAGGAGTACTTACTCAAGTCTAAAATAAAAGGACACAAGACAGTAACATGAAGCCATGAGAAAAAATAAAGAACACTAATATGTTCTTTATTAAAGTGTTGTACTTTGGCTTGGTGTATAATGTCTCTCCTTTTCCTACATGCCTTAAAAGGCAAATGCATGAAACAATTACACATCTGTTTTAATGAGTATATCACATACAAAAATGTAATCTATGCCAATAACATAAAAAGGATGAAGGTGTGTGAAGAAGCAATGTGTCTGTATACTACTGAATCTATTATTCCAACTAGTTTAAGGTATTAATTATAATCCCCAAGGTAACTACAAAGAAAAAAATTTATATGATGAAAATGAAAGCAAATCAAAATGGCAAACAAAAAAGGTCATGATGGAAGAATTGAGGCAAAAAAAAAAAAACCATAACACATACAGAAAACAAATAGCTAAATGGCAGAAGTAAATCTTTATTGGTAATCACATTAAGTATAAATGGATTAAATTCTCCTATTAAAAGACAGATATTGGTAGATTGGATATATTTTTAAAAATCCAGAATCTATCTACATACTTCTTACAGGAGCCTCACTTTAGATATGACAAAGACACAAACAGGTTGAAAGTAAAGGATGGAAAAAAATATGCTAGGCAAAGGGTAGTCAAAATAGAGCCTGAGTGACTATATAATTGCCAGACAAAATAGACATTAAATCAAAAAAGTTACAAGAGACATATTGAAAAAGGTTCAATATACCTAGAAAATATAACAATTATAAAAATACATATACCTAACAAAGCCCCCAAATTTTTGAAGCAACAAGAGCCCCAAAATATATGAGGCAAAAATTGACAGACTTGAAGGGAGAAATAAACAGGTGTACAGTAATAGTTGGAGACTTAACAGCTCACTTCCAATAATGGACAGAACAATCAGACAGAAGATCAATAAGGAACCAGCACACTTGAACAACACTATAAACTAATATGTATAAAAGACCTATAGAGAACACTCCATCCTACGACAGAATACACATTCTTCTCAAATGCACATGGAACATTCTCCAGGAGAGAACATATGTTAGGCCACAAAACAAATCTTAAATTTAAAATGACTGGAATATTTTTAAAAGATTCCCTTCTGATCACAATGGAATGAAACTATAATGCATTAACAAAAGGAAACCTGAAAAACTAACAAATATGTGACAGTTAATCAAAACACTTCTAAATAACCCATAGGTGGAAGAAATTACAACAGAAGTCAGAAAATACTTTGAGATTAATGAAAACAAAAGCACAACATACCAAACTTATGAAATGCAACAAAAGCACTGATAAGCGAAAAATTATAGCTATAAATGCACATATTAAAAAAAGATCTCAATCAACAACCTAACCTTCCACCTTAAGAAACTAGAAA